GCAATCCTTTACATGTGTCTCCCAGCTCTGGACTGCCGTGTCCGCCTGTTTGTCTCCCAGCTCTGAACCGCTGTGTCCGCCTCTGCCTTGCAATCCTTTACAATTGTCTCTCAGCTTTGGAGTTACAAAAGGAAGCGCTTGCGTTGGAAACTCTAGACTCTAGTTGCAGAGTGTTCCGATTCTAAAAGATATACTGTTTGGGGTCTACGGCGGTGTAGTTTTGATACCAATTCTCCAGTTGGACAACAATACACACTCAATTAGGATCGAAGCGTTTGCCACATATTTGCGTCAAGGGACCGCAGCCGCAGCAGAAGTGGGCGGAAGGACACGGGCGACCAAAAACATGATGGACACAGAACGCTTGCATAAAGATGACTTGATTCAAGAACTTTCCCTTCCTAGCAGGAGACCTGTAGGTGTCACAAAAAGTAGATCCAGCAATTTACTTCTTGGTCTTATGATATGTGTTGCTAGATCTGGACACCAAGCAAGTTATGTGACTTGTCAATGCAGCGAATGATTTGCTATGTGTTGCGCATGAAACCGTTCCCGTTTTGGAGCACAGACACCTGGAACTTTAAGTCTGCAAGATTGTTTAGGGCATGCGTTACTTTTGCTTTGGGATGGATTCTTACCTGCTGGACATGCTATAACAATTGATGAACTGCATACACGAGGTGCTTGGCTTTGCCTTGAGTCTGACCCGAGTAGTTAATCACCAGGTCTGAGCAAGCACACCCCAACCCACAAATGCAAACTTTGTCCAGGCAAGCACTCTGTCTCCACGGGGGGAAGAGGCATGCCATTTTTCATATCATCTCAGATGCTCATCATAGATTTGCATGTCTCACCTTTTGCGTCCATTTGTCCCTTTCCATTTACTGTATATACGTACTAGTACCTGACCTGTAGGACCGCAAGAAGACGGAGCGCCGCCGGAAGAAGCGTGGCTTTGGTGGCAATGGATGGCCATCGAGCAAAGTCCGGATAGCAAAAACCGCATTTTCAAGAAGGTTTGATCCTGGAATCTTTTGACAGCAGCTGGTCATAGGTTGATCTCTCGGTGCAGTGCCATGTTCTAGCCTGGTAGGAAGCTTCCGAGAGAGCAGGGAGGCTATACGTCTACAACCAAGTCAGCTGAGGAAAGAAGAGCAGCTCAGATAGCCCCTTGGCCACGACCTGCAATATTTCAGCCCCGCCGCGTTCGGGGAAGAAAGCTGGTGACCCCGTCTTGTATCCGCAGAGCTCTGACCACTTTTCTGTTTCAGTGGATTTCCAAGTTTCCAGATTTGAAGTGGCGTTCCGTTAGGATTGGAGACCAGCTAACCTCATTGAGAAAGTGACAGAGCCACACTCACCCTATCCCAAAATGTGTATACAAGTAGTTCCCGGGCAAGCCGGCGGCGGAAGTTTCCTATAAGAAGAAATAGACCTATAGGAGTGTCCACGTTCTCTCCAACATGCGCGTCCTCCAGTCAAACGCACGCGCTCCGGACTTGTGCCCCCTGCAGGATCAGCAGCTCACAACAGCGTACTGGGTTGTATCTTTGCCACGACAAGAGGGGTGTATGACGAGTGGTGTATGATGAGTGGTGTATTGACCAGCAGTTGAATGTCCTGTCCTGCATAAATGCAACCAAATACTATCAGTATGAACTGTGCCAAACCTGCACGCCGCGAGAGATGACTCAGCAGCGAGAGATGATTCAGCCGCGAGAGATGGCTATAGCGAGAGCTGACTCAGCAGCGAGAGATAAATGAGCAGCGAGAGATGACTCAGTCGCGAGAGATGACTCACAGCAGCGAGAGCTGACTCAGCAGCGAGAGATGACTCCTCCGCGTACTACACTTGTACTACAAACTGGCCAGTTCTCAGCTTCCAGCTCGACAGGTTGTTCCGCGCGCTAAAGTTGTACTAGAAAGTCGCCAGTCAGTTCTCATCTTCCAGCTCCCCAGATGCTCCGCGTACTGCAGTTGTACTACACAGTCGCCAGTTCTCA